AGTAACGCTTATGCAATGAAACGCCATTGTCTGGAAAGCTCTGCAATTAATCAATTATCTTACGTACGTGCGACATTGTAGTTAAAAGCTATTTATAAAAGAGGTATCCATAGCTTCTCTTATTTATAAAAAACATTTTTGATATCGCTGCAACCTAATGCGATGTGAAAGATTGATCGGTGATATTTTTTTCACGACCATAACTCAAGTTTATATTGAATATACGAACCTTGATATATTTTCTGCGAGTGCGCTTGACGTTCTACGAACGCGAATTGAAAAATAGAAAAATTCCGTAAATTTTGAGAGGAAGCAAAACGTTTTCAACAGATTTTCGATAATTTTATTTCTATGTACAATATCTGCGCTTAAGGGGATCGATATCGAGGCGTATCTATATATAGGTATAGATCGCGCGATTGAAGAAAGTAATTTTTCATCGCGGGATCGTCACTTCGGAATGATCGGAAAGGTGTCGAAAAAAAATCTAATTTAAAGTCTAAATTAAATTTCATGGCGGGGCGACGAACTTTTTGCTGTCGACGGCAACTACGGTTACAAGCACGCAGCGCGCACGGATGTTCGTATTCGCGGTTACGCCGAAATGCGCAAGAAAATATGAACGTTCATCATTCGAGCGGAACCGGAAACCCATGCGGATATATCCCCGGTACGGATTCTGCTGAGTGAGGGCAGTGAGGGGCGGATATGGGTGGGCAGAAGGGAGAGTTGCTTAAATCTGCAGAGTTAGGACAGGACTTACCGCCAAGACGCGGCTCGCAAATGGCGTTCAAATTAATTTCAACAAAGTTCGTAAATTATTAATACTTGCCGGGCCGGCGCGCGGCGCGGCGCGGCGCGGCGCGGCGGCTGCTGACTCGCTTGTTCCCGGCTAAATGTGCTGTTTAATTAGGAAATCCGCGATTGTGGTAAGACGGGGGTTGTCAACGGTTTTACGTTACATTATAGACCACCATGGAGCCTTTTCGTGCGCTGACCGCCTGCCACGCAGGTGGATTGCGAATATATCTCGCACCCGCCAGTGAAACAAGCTTAAAACTATTCCGACAACGCAGTGCAACGCCGCGTATCACCACGTATCACCACGTATTACCACGTACATGTTGCGTCGACGCGCAATTACGCGACACGAGGCGGAAGTTTGTAAAACAGCGTGGTGAGATCGTCACCGTATAGGAGTAATAGGTCTGAGAATTCCTTTTTCGCGGCTAAAGCGACTGCAGCGTAAAATTGCGTCGCTTTAAATTAAAACGTTAATCGCGGGCCGCGGCATTTTGCAGATTATTAGGATATGACACTGACTTTTAGACACCGTGCCGTCATAACTTGTACGAAAGTTGGACAGGAATTTCAACAACATCATTTTCTTTCCTCATACATAATATATGATAGTTTACATAAGCAACGATCACTATTCTAAAAACTGTCGATTGCCAATCTCACCACGAATAGCCACGTCTGACAGCACGATATTCTCGCCGGTATAGAAATTGACCGCCGTAAGTGAATTCGTTCCCCAAATATAACGGGAGACGTAGTTGGAATACTTGGTGACTCTAAGAATTTTGAGAGGACGGCTCATGAATGCAAATTAAAACGTTTGCCGCTTCTGCCGTGCATCTCTTTCCTGATGCCCTAGCCTTTCCTGATGCCCTTGCCTTTCGTTATTTGGCTTCTTTTACAAACGAATCGTTCGAAAGTCGACACTCGCAGCGAATGATGCTTAAATAATAAGTGTCATAGAAATAACGTATGTACAAAATATAAATTATAATCTTAAATCTCCTTGAAGCCATCAATAAATCTCTAGATTAATTATTGAAAAAAAAAAAAAAAAATTTTTTTATGTCACACAATTAAGTTACACCAATGCTGAGTTTCACAGAATTAATGTATTTTTAATCGAATATCGTTAAACACGGTCAATATCGCTTCGCCTCGTAAAGCCGTTGCATACTATTTTCACGACATTAGATGCGTACAAAATCGTAATGTCCGCTTCTGCCTTCTGCTTTCTTTATTTTTGCGGCGTGCGCATTCTCCTAAGTTTCTCCGCAGATATATATATGGCACAACGCAATGCTCGACAATAAGAAAGCTTTAGACGGCAGTGGCTATTACGGCACAGCATAATGCACATTTCCAGTCCGACATTTTCAATAATATGCCGTTGGAGTGAAAATTATGCATTGAGACGAAACGACCGAGAAACGGTAGAGAAAATTAATGGAAGATGCAATTATCTCAACAAGAAAAATAAATATGTTATTATTAAATTTAGAAAAAAACGGCGTTGCTTCAAATATTCAACCGATATAGATTTAAATGTATTTCCTTAACATATGTCACGTACATTACCGTAGACATAAGTCTCAAAGCGGAAATTGAGCTAAAAATCACGCTGAGAAAACGAATGAAAAAGGAAGAGCTTGAACACAGCGTTTGAACGATATTTCCAATATTCTCGTAGCAACGCAAAGTTCAAGATAAGTATGCTTCTGATATAAACATTCATACAACATTCATGACTGACGACGACGCGACGCATTGATACCTCGCGCCTTTCCAGTTTCAGCGTATCCAAGTCCTTGTATCAATGCCTTTCCCTCTCAAGCGCTACCTTAAAAGCGCCACGCCGGAACTGATACAAATATCTTCTCTCGTTAGCTCGAAGAACATATATACATATAGCCTGATCCAATATATGTATAAAGAATATATATATATTTGAGTCCACGCGCGAAGGTCGTTAAGGTAGCTGCCTGGCCGAGATATTGCGCTACTTTTTTCAAACTCGATAAAAGCCATTGTCGGCCTTGTGTTGGCTTTGAATCATGAGATCGCAGCAACGATGACCCTGGCCAAATGACAGTTTTATCGAATTTCTTCGTATCCTAGACTATAGATACAAACACGTATCGAAACGTGTATTGCACAGCCAAACGATGAATTACGAGATAGTCCTGTATTTAACGATGCATTGTTGCATCCCTAAGCCAGCTTTTCGGCATCCCGATTATACGCATCGTATAGCAATATTAATTACCGCTGGCCAGTTTCTGAACCAAGTCAACGGTAAGTTAACACTGTACGCGATGGCTCGTGTGAGCGATTTGTTTAGGAAGGTAATGCCCGATAATTATCGCAGCTACGATTGTGTAACGACGAACATGTTCAATTGTATATCTCAATTATGTAATTTTCCATCATAATTTTTTTATATATGAAGCGTGATCTCGTAAAACATAATTTTATATACCTTCGAATGTGCAGCGTGGTATAAACTTTGAATTTTACAATCATATTGCGGAATAGTTTACGCTAATAGCTTACGCACGAATAGACAATGCACTGTTTACTGCGAGAGGGAAGAAACACGGAAAATATATTCACGAGAAAATATACAAGTACGCACGCAGCACGCTCACGCGTTCGTAACGCCAGGGGTTGCCTAATGACGGCATTTCTTCGGAAGATTCATCTTGCGAAGCGTACCTCAGCGATTCTGGCGTTAAATTACGGAAAGATTAATAACTGTCGGGAAGATTAAAGCGTAGAGACTCGAAACGAATATGCGCTACAATCGCGGTACCGTTATACGCGGCAAAGCGGGTTAAGATATTTATCACATTAAATAATTTCATATCTTCCTTCTTGTGAGACTCGTTCAATCTTAACGCTATGCGAATAGTGCAGACACGTAAAGATGATGAACTGTAAAAAGAAACGCGACAAAGCTAGAAACGTGAATACCTTTTGTATGACAATTTTAATTTATTTGATAACAAATAGACGGTTTGTTGTAAAATTATTTGCCGTAGCTAACCCAAATAAAGGTTTTTCTCTCCATATTTACCATTGTACCTTCTACGCGAGCGGGATTTTAAAAATTCGTTGGTATATTTTAATTTAAAATATTTTATTTTCGCTAATAGAACTAATAAATATGCGCCATGATTATTATCATACTTTTGTAGTCTTTGTGTGATTTTTATGCAACGCGCTCTCGTGATACAGCAGAGCTCATTTGCATATTATAGCAGGCGTCGATGCGCAAGCACTTGTAATTAAAACACGAAATATTCATAATTTAATTCGTACAACGTACGAATTTTCTTTCAGTACAAAAAGATGAGGGTAGCTACGAAGGAAACTGTCGCGTAATTTAATTGGCCTTTTTTCTTCCTTTGGCTGTGCGTCAATTAATTACTTTCGTTACATTCCTTTTTTATTCGTCGACTGTTGCTGCTCGTTAAGTCACCGTGCATCTCTTTGTTACAGCGTCGCTCTGCGACGTGGTTTACAACAGCGATTCAACAAAAACGGGCGTAGTTATGTCACCTGGATACCCGAACCCATATCCACCTAGGACACACTGTACATACGACTTCCAAGGAAGAGGAAAGGAACGGGTGCAGGTGATATTCCAGGACTTGAATCTGTTTAATCCGCCAAAAAATCCAAATGAGTAAGTTTATCAGATTTTCTAATCTTAATTGTATTAAATATATCATCACGTAACTGATTGTGAGATATTCTATTAACGTAATAGCAGTCTAGTCTCGCTGTTAAACTATGTCCGTTGTACGTATATATCTTCAGTCGGAAAATTTTATCTGAAAAATGCGAACTTGTACGGTCGCGCGATTGATTCGAACGTTGCCCGTTGCCCGAATCCAGTTTTCACGAGTACATTCGACATCATTGGATTCAGTAGCAACGTAACGATACATATTGTAATTGGGTTCAGAATCGTCAGTCCATTCTTATGACACAAAAAGCATATACTACCAAGTACATTATGTATTTGCATGCACGTAACAGACGTCGCCTACTCTTCTTTTAAACCGCCGCCGCATCGGATTACGATAAGTGCAATCTTAAAATTTCATGAGAAACGACTTCGTCGTAAGCTGGCCTAAGAGTAAGACTGGTATTTAACGTGTTATTGCTTTCAAAAATTGTGTGTTATCAAAAGTGAAGAAATCATAGTTCCAATTTCGCAAATGTGCAGTAAAATTGTTGCCTCGGAGATTTTCCAATTTTTCTGGCACGTTTACGCACATCGCGTTTTCCTTCCTTCCAGGTCAATACCCATTCGCCCAAATTCGCCCATTCGTATACGTAAAGTTGCATTGTCACTTTACCAGTGCAAGAAATTTTATTTGAATCCGACAAAAGATTCTTAGCCTCAAAAATTTTGACCTAACCAAGCTGTCGAGAATAGCTTCAAGTTTCCAAGCATCGGAGAGCGACCGCGAGCATTTCCTCTAGAGATTGAAGGACCTGTCGTCATGGCCGAGGAAACAGATCAGCATAGGAAATCCCGGGAAACCGCTACGATACAACCGCTGCGGGTTCCTCGACAATTGCGCTCGCTGTGATCACTTATCCTCTCATTCATTTTCCACGTGGCTGTTCTTAAACACGATTTAATTAGGGTTTGCGCGTACCATTGAACTGACGTTTAAGTGGTACTTGCCCCGCTCTATAATTATCCACCGTACACTCTACCAGTGCATCACCAAGAGCTTCTCTATCTTTGAAATGATAGTGCGATTAAATAAACTCCGGGAGCTACGATCAATATAACAAGAGATATAACGTATATTTAAATAATATGACTGTCTCAGCGTATTGCTCTTTTCTTTATTATACGATAACAGTGCGAAACGGTAAAGTTTCAAATAAGTTTGCACACATTACTAGTATAATTGAAATTACACTTAATTGACGATATATATGCATGTTTTCTAGAAAAAGTAATATTTGAAGAATGCAAACGTCAATATTATGATGTATCATATTTTATGTTGTTTCACGAAGATATATCACGTTAAAGGAACGGAAGCGCATCACAGTCTCGCGTTATCGTATCTATTCATAAGACACAAGATGGACGCTTCATACATCTACTTATGTTACACATAGGAAACGTGAGTGCATTCAAATGCTAAGGTGATTTCTTCTGAATAGGACGTTGGAGAGCAGTTCGCGTCGTCATCTGATTTTCTTGCCCAGTTTCCTTCCAATCATCCGAATAGATTGGTCGAAATTTTCCTCCGAGCATATGGCCGCGCATTCATGCAGTAACGCCACACAAATTTGTTCATGTACGAAATCACTGCACATGATCATACATGCAGGCCTGTCTGTGCGCGGGCAAATAATATTCTTTATTGTGCGTTATATTGGTTCTCTCTCACTATGTCTTGCGAATTGTAAATTGGCTGGTTAAAAGCCATCTATTGTGGATTGTGCCCGCAGGACAATTGCGTAATTATGATACAGTAAACCACGGCACGTTGAGCTCAAATAGGAGGAGCATAATAGGAATGTTCAAACGCTAAACGCAGAAAGGGAACGGGGTTACTTTTATGCGAAAATCAGTTTAACGTGATTGTTCTTTTAAAGCTTGCCATATCATTTTGGGAAAAAAAAGAAGAAGATACGTTGCTTTTTTTACGTTTAACAATTCATGAAAGTTTTGTAATTATATACTTGACGTAAACTAGACCGTATATGTATGTTTAAAACACAACATTCTCAAAGTTGTTTTCTTTGCTCGAAATGCATCTCTTGTCGAGTACGTTCTTTGCAACATTACATCATGTTTACTTTGACTAGTCTATCATCAGATTTGTTGTTAGATCAAATAAAAGTTTAATGTAGGATATCTGCGTTTTCAATATTACATTTCAAAATAAATTTAAATACATTTCAGAGAAAGAGAAAGAGAGAAATCAGCAGCAAAACTCATACTGTATAGCAATTTCATCAACGTAATTTTCATTATTTTTCGAGGAATTTTCTGCGAAATAGCACTTGCAACATATTTGCTGATAAATACAATGTAGACTTCAGTGTATTCATTCAAATATTTGATTGGTCCAGCAGTCGCAAGCAAAAATATTGTAAAATATTGGATCAATCTTCCCTTTCGTCTTCACACATTTTTATATTATTTTATTGCATATTCTCAACACATGTTGTAAATGTAAATTACTATCGTAAGATGGTTACCTTGAATATGAAATCTACTATCTTAACAAGCGTATTATGTAATGAGCGAAAGTAATTATTTCATAAGTCGGTTACAACTGACTGCAATTATTTGGCACTTCCAACTCGACAAACAGATTGCAACGGATAATTTCCGCTTTAAAGTGGTCGACAGCGAGCTCTCGCGTCAAGAGTTTTTGAAACGAAAGTCCAGGCTCGAGAATGTCAACTCGGTGTCGAGTTATCGTTCAAAGTTCGCTAGCGGCGCGGCGGCGCGTCGTAAGCACAGAATATAAAATTGGACAACGTGCAACGTGTTGCAGTACACGCTCCGGTGCGCGTACCGGGACAAATACATCTTGATTCCTGTTCCTTGTGTTCTAACGGGACGTGAAATCAGAAATGGAAATACGAGTCCCCCCGGTAGCGAAGCGTCTTTTGTCGAGGAAATGAAAAGTTTTTCCTATCGAATATTGTTTCGTGACGCGTAACGAAGGCTGCACGGCCTGCACGTCGAAGCAACGCTGACACGACTGCGCAATGTTGTAGAACAGTTATTCCGTCCAACAATTTTTTTTAACTAAATGATCAACGTCACGTGAAATGTTGCAATACGCAAATATTTTTTTTTCCTTTTACCTGAAATTGCTATATTTTGTATTTTCTCTCCTCACTCTTCGATACCATCATGGAATATATTACATGATGAACTGACCGTGCAAGAGGCACAAGAGATACTTTATCTGCAATTATTGTAATTATTGAAATTATATGGAAATTGTTGGTTTTCCACAATAATTATCGCGTTCGAAAGTATCAAATTTTGGTTGCTGCGTACTCAGCCGCAGATATGCGCTCGAATAAAATAATTAATTTTGCAAATATAATATGTATACACGTGTGTAAAATATAATATCTGAAAAAAATACATTATATAAATATATAATTTTTTTATTGCAGCTGCGAGGGGGTCGATTCATTGGTGGCGTTCGTGCATATAGATGGAAAGAAGGACAAAATAGATTCGTTCTGCGGAGATGTACCGGCGCGGCCTATCATGAGCAACGGCCCGCGGCTTTCCTTGGAGTTTCAGGGAGTAACGTCGTCTCGCCATTCGAGAGGATTTAAAGCAACATATACTTTCATGGAAAGTAAGTGCGCAACGTATCAGTTTTAACGATAAGTTTGATTCTACCGTGTCTGCAAAGAAATAACGATCTCGAGTGAGAAAAGGCTGTATCTTTTTGTAACAATTCTATAAGTGAATCTTCTAATCTGTAGAAATCTGCCGCTTATGCGAGACGCGCGTAAATTTACACGCGTATATTGTCTTCTCATAAATCGATCGGAAATGTTCCGGTGCAGATGGACGACGGGCATCATCGAGAATAACTTATCGACGTGGAACGTGTTCGCGGCGCAAGATCAGGCCGTGACATACGATCTTATATATTCGTGGATGGGGCACGGAGCCGTATTCCGGGCTTTTCTCCTATGGGCACCTATGTCCCGTCAAAATTTCAATTTCCGCCGAGCATTCTATCGCGATAGCAATGCGTCTCGCGGCGTTTCGCCGTTTATCACCCGCAGGTGAGCTTGGATCGTAGCGCACACGCGTTGGGCGGGCATCCCGGTAACGGAACAAATGGATGGCGAAGTGTGTTCATCTTGCCGAGAATCGTTCGAGGATACCGTAACGCACCGTAACGCGAGAAAGTTAAGGAGTGCATCGCGAGGCTGTACCGGCGAAAGTTGGCGCCCGGGTGCACGGGCACGGAGAGAAACGCGGAGGCAGACAATCTGTCTCAAATATCAAGCAGGTGGTGGGAGACAACTTTGTCGTGCCGTCACTACCGTCAGTTAAGGGATGAATATCGCTCGATTATGCCGAGTATTTTATCGTCCTCCGGCTACCATCGAGCAGAGTCGAAAGTTGGCGCGTTATCGCATAATTGAAACGCGGCAAAATGGATCCTGACCTATTTTGCAACGGTGGAAAGAGATACGGCGGCAAAGTTCCGGCAAAGTCGCTCCGCGGCTCCGTATTATGAATGTTAACGGCAAGTTTGAGTTTAATTTTTACGAGCGGGACCTATCTACCCCTTGGCCGTGCACCTCCGCCCATCTCCCCCTCTCCCCCCCATCTTTGAAACTTCGCGGCTGAATTATCGCGCTAAGGGATGCGGGTACGTTCTTCGGGGCCCACATAAATAGACGTCGGAGGATCCTCGAAAAAGACGGGGTTGCTCTCGCAAATCGAAGTAGGCATTCGACAATCGAACTGGAACGGACACCAAGAAAAGATTCGCAGTCCCTCGCGCTTCCTCCCTTCTCGTAGGAAACCAGACGGGTCTCACTCCCGAACTGTCACAAGCACAACGATGTTCTCGACGACGAATCGATATGACGCGTCTTAGAAAGGACCCGCCGGTATCTTGCAGGAATAACATTCTACGCGCTGACTAGGACATTTCCTTAGGGGAATGGCTGATGTCATCTCTCGGACTGATATGTGCGTGTCAACCGAGTCACGCGATACATTTTCCCTCTGCGGCGTCTGTATATGTGTATATATATATATATATATATATATATATGTCTTTACTCACGCTTGAAACTAGTAATTATGACATTGTTACAGAGAGAGAGGGAGGAGAGAGAGGAAGGGAGAGAGAGAGAAATCGCAACATCCAGCAGACAAATTTCTCGCTCTTCGTCGTTATAATCGACGTCACGACGACAATGGCAGGTGGATAATCGCGAATTACCCCGTAACGACAAACACGCCATTGCAAGTGCGAAGGACGCGAAATTTATGACGTCTACTCGGTGTAACCCGCCCTTCTTGCAATTAGTCCTGTCTTCCGCGACGATGGTAAATTAGACTCCCCCTCGGTCTAAAAAGCGGATCTGTCTCTCGGCGCGAGCGCTTTGCGCGATAACGCGAAAATCTATTTTCCTCGTCGTTTTCGATCATCGATCGTACCGTATTTCCTTGCAGACGAGACATCTCACCACCGACGGGTTTGGACGGTGTCGCGTCAAACCATCGACGTTTCTCACGGAAACTTATCGCTACGTCGATTCGCAGTCGTTTAGTCACGATGTCGAGACGACGCGCGCCAAAGGACATCGACCGGAAGTTTCGGAATTCGGTCGAACGGTCCAAATATCGTCGACAGCAGCGATGGCAGCGTTGGCAGTTAGCGAACGACATATTCCTCGCGACGTGGCTGGTGAGAGAACTCGACTCGTCGAGCTTCGAGACGGTGACGGATTTACGAATCCATCGTCGACGCGCGACGAAGAAGTAGGACAGAGCTTTTGGAAAACAACGTCGTCGTCGTCGGGGTCGTCGCGCTTCGACACATTCAAGTATATGCATGTATATAAGCGCGTCTCGTGTTTGTCTGACTCTTTGTACATACGTATCCACGTCGGTATCAAACGTATGAAACTTACAGTCGTATTAGCAGCAACGCTTTAATGTAACCTGGCGTATTCCGCTTCCGAACTTCGCCGAAGTTTCAACGCAATATTTCCGACGAACTCGGCAAAGTTGATACGGGCGTAGCGTACGTCGTATTGTTGCGTCAAGTCATCCACCGGGAAACGCGCCGCGCCACGCTTGTTCGGTCGGAACCGTCGAGACTCGCCAACTTTGGTCATCCATTAACCGCTTAACTTTTTAAGCGAAGCTAAACCTACATCGATGATACACGTAGTTGCTGACTATTAAAATACTCGAAGTACACGGCGAAGTACACTCACAGAGGTCTCGCAACACGTGAACTATAAAAATTGTAACGTAACACGTACGCGAACGCGTGCAGGAAGTAACCGCCCGCCCCCTAAAAAAAGGAGTCTATGGGCGAGGCTTTAAATACCACCTTGGTACAGGATCGTTTTGCATTTTGAGAGTTATTCCGCGCGAATAGTAGAACGAGGTGCCGGAATCGTTATCGTTGATTACAATTGCAAAGTTGGGAGGAGTCCGGCCGAGACAGGGCCAGGAAGGAAGGAAGGAAACGACGAAGGGAGCTCGGCGGCCAAACGCTCTCGGATACGCGGACGGTGCCGAACTGCGAGTCGACGGCGAATCTTTTGTAATGTAGATCGCAGGACGATTTTAACGACGGTTATACTCCTCGAAAGTGTGATAAACAGTCTGCATGCACCCACGTAGATGCATACAACGGCACGAAGCGATCCTCGTGCCCGCCCATGGCCGACTTCGGGACAGAGCGTCGCGATCTGGTGCAACATAAATTGCCAGCTCGTATATACTTGAACATTCTTCCACAGCCGGGTATTATAAAAGTTTTCACGAAACTTTATCAATTTTACGGATACGCCACGTGTACTAGGAAAAAAAAGAAATGAGAGCTCGTTTACCGTCCTTTTTCTCTCTCTTTCTCTCTTGCCCTCCGCTTGCTTTGATTGCTTCTATTTCTTCACGTATATATGTATACGCGAGCACACATGCATGCACGTTCCGTAGCTTTATATGTATAATTGCATTTAGAATTCATCTCGCACAAACAAAATATTATCGGGCATAATAACGTTTTTAAAAACTGCTAATAAATTTGTAATTCTGATTTCATGAAAATATTGGAAAGTGACCGATGATATATAACGCGTAAAGATAACCGTACGTTAAACGTTATAGAAATGTGCAAAATAGTGGCAGCTTTCCATGCTCTTTGTACGAGTTACACGCACTAGCTTTCGTTGGAAGACAGAAACTACTGTGGCTACTATGGCAGGACGGAGAAATTCCCTCGTCTCGGTAGCCTTGAAAAATTGATACTATAGGCCGTCTCGACTAGGCTTTATCGGAATAACGGGCAACTAAACGTACCATTTTATTGGATCCTACGCTCCGGTACGCTCCGAATACCGAATACCGAGTACCGAGCGGGGCCGAGGCGCTCTTGGTAGCCGTGCGTGAATCTCAATCGCGGAACCGCCGTGGCGAAACAAAATAGATTTCCCGTCTGCCGTGTAACTCGCCGACTCGCGGAGATTCGCTCGACCGACACCCAATCCCGTGATACCAAAAGTTCCAGGCACAACGTTGTCCAACAACAAACATGGCGGGATTGCAGATCCGTGTTTGCTCCTTCAGCGTGTAGCGCAGCATGCGTAGTTATAATATCTGCAGCATCCGGTGCATAGTTATGCGGAGTACCTGGTCTAACGTCGCGTCGCCACGAAATTCGGAGCTTCTTTTTGCGCCAACACAAAACAGTGCTTAGACAGAAGTTTGTTTACGGATGTTTCGTTGCACAAGTTGCAAAGTACCTTACAAGCGCGAAACGTTGGCAATTAATAATCAGACTTGTAAATCAGTTGAAAATGTTGAATGGATTTTTCTATTGCGGGACAAATATATATAGGACATGTACAATGTACATATATATATGTGTGAACTATAAAGTTGGTAGCTTATTACAGTTAACTCGCGCAATTTATCGTCGGTTTTGTCGTTGGCGTTCCTGTCAAACTGCAACTCGAAACGTACGTCACTCTGTTCAAATAACATCCTGTAATTTCCGCAGAAATGTACAAAGCGCGGACAAACGCGACGTTCTCGTTACTTTAACCCCCACGCCTCACGTAATCGGAGGGGCATTGCTTGTTGCCGAGCGTGAAACAAGCGACGCGACTGGAAAAAGAGCAGGTCGAGCGTAGAGTGAGGTCATTTCAAAATGAAAACCCTACGTTGAAATGCGAGACCCCGGCGATACAAGTAGAAAAAGTTCCCAGCCATCGGACCACTGCCAGCCAAACGAAACAATATGGGACTTTAATTCGGGATTATGTCATCCCGAAATGAGCGTATAAGATATCACACACAACGAAAACAAAGCAATATTGATAATAATTCTTTCGAGACTGATGGACAGATAAATGACTGCAATCATTAAATTTAAATATTGAAATTGTGCGGATAATTCAACGTTAAATAACGTTCGTTTTGCTAAATATTCAATGAACATTAAAGAACCATCGCGCAACTATTTGCTCGCAGGCATTAACTCGATGATTCGTTGGTAATATATAATATAAACATCGGCAATGCACTATCACATCAATCTCGGTAATTCGCAAGAACATTTCGGAAAACCCATTTATTTATGCCCTC